TTTGACTCTTAATGGTGGTTCTTAATTTGACTCGCAGGGTTTTTTGGAAGACTTCCCCTGGTACTGAATTAGCCAGGAGAGCGCAGGTAACCAATGCATGTTCCAGGCCACTGCTGAGTTGCAGTCTTTATATTAGCTGGGGTGCAACTCTGGAGAGCGCTTTTGTTTTCCCTGCTGTTGTTCATACAGTGAAAATGAAGTTGGAATGACATCTAGTGGCAAATTGTAGTGTGCTCTTGTCCAGGTGCAGCCCTCCTCTGGTTACCGTCCCACTGGGTTTGGGTGAGATGCTCTTTACAAAGGGGAATCGGGGTTTGGTACGCTGAGTGACAGTCCTGAACCACACCTGCAGTCCTGGACATTCAGCAGCCTGCTCAGCATGGCACCATTTTCTCCTATACTGATCCTGGAGAACCCCATTTTAGCCCACGCAGAGATGAGCGTCAGTCCACATGCTCCCACTGGAAGGGATGCTCAGCGTCCAGTCGACCCACCAGGATCTGAAGGAGATGGTCAACAGCACCCTGCTTTGGGGGGCGTCTTAGGGGACGCTAGGAGAAGGCAAAGCCTAAAGGTGCTGAGGCTAGAAGCGGTAGGTTTGGGACTTTCTCCTGTCATGAGACACGACGGAGCAGCTCGGGGCGTTGCTTCCCAGCGTATTCTGGTTCAGGGAAAGGCAATTTTAAGGAGTAAAGGGAATTACGGTTGGTTGTATTTTGGAACTTAGCAGTACTGTGTAAAACAATCCAATCGTTTTGTCCTGGGAGTTTGGCTGCTCTCTTGGGGGAGAGAATTAAGGCTTCAAAGAATGTGTCACCTGGAAATGAATGTGACAAGGTCTTCCAGAAATAACGTTAGGTGGTCTACAGACTTGTTAAGCTTTACATCCAGATTTTTGAGTACATAATGTAGTTTTCTATGCATTTGGCTAAAACAGCAATTACTTGTCCATGTTAGATTTACTTCTCATCTTTCTCAGGCTTCTAAAACACTAACATGGCGACCCAGTGGCGGTAGAAAACCCCCCTTCCTTCAATCCAGAAGAAGTCTGTGCTATTTAACGCTGAGGCTGTGATAGCGTTCAGATGCTCCTGCCGGTTCCTGGACTGCGTTGTTCTTGGAAGTGTACAACCGTACATGAAGGACAGCTTTATAGCCTTGAGAGGAGTGTAAGCCCAGACAAAAGGTCTGTGGCCTGCCGGGTTTGGTAGTGATGTGCAAACCAGCTGCAGTGTAGGGCCTGCGTTATGTATTTGTTTTGGAAATGATAAACCCTCAAACTCTTAACTTCTTTGGAATTTGGGTATTTTCTTCTTTTAGGTGGGATATTTTCTGCTCTGGTAATTTACATTCTTTCTTACACCCTGCTCCATTTCTCAGTCCTGTTTTCTACCCGAGTGTTTGGCTGAAGTCCTTGATAGAGTCAACTTTTATGTAAGGCACAAACTGTAACAGGAATCATGGTTGACTCTGCTGCTGGGCAGCAACTCTGGATTTGGCTCTGCAGGAGCCATGCTGAGGCCTGGAGCCAAGGTAGAAGTGTCTGTACGGTGCCTTGCAGGTGGGAGAAGGCTCCCTTTGAGGACCCTGCAGTACGGGCTCAGCTCAAGATGACCTTGTACAACATAGGACGAGGAGTGCATGGCTTTTTGGGGGGATCACCACCTCTGGAGGAGTTGCAGACTGTTCTCTGGCAGCAGCGTGAGCCCTAGGGTTTGCAGGGAGGGTGGTTGTGTCCCGGCCTCTCACCCGCTCAGCTTCATCCTGGAAAATATCACAAAGTGCTTGTACCTCTCAGTGCCTGATACCCAGCCCCAAGTTGCCTACACCACACTCGGGAGGGTTTTGGTGCTTTTTTTGACCACTAAGTCTCCTGTTTCAGCCTGGATTAAGAACCCAACTCTTGGGTGCTTTGGAGGCAGGTGCCTGCCTGTCCACTATGCCTTACTGTGCAGTACATTTGCCAAAAAATAAAAATGTGAAGCAGCAGGGATGCGCGGTGGCAACAGCATCGTGGAGCTTGGTACCTTCCCCTCTGGGTGTCCCTGTGGTGGAGGGACCTCTGCCTGCCTGGTGACAGTTTTTCCTTCTCCTGCTGTCCTGCCCTGCATGGTAATACTGTAGATCCCTCACGTGTGATGGGTGGGCTCCTCGCTGCTGTTACAAATATCGTTGCACTGTGTTTGTCTGCTGAATGTGGAAGAGATCCACGGCCCCAACGAGATGTGTTAGCAACAATGAGCAGTTCCTGCGTGGACACCCCGATGCTGTGAGTTTTCCTGTTGCCTTTCACTATGGAAAGACACCTCCCAGGAAGCTCTCGGGACCGGAGCTCTTCCAGCACTTGCTGTTATTTTTGCTCACCAAATTTCCGGTTCTGGGTTGGAATAGTTTGGAAATGACTCCGGTCGTGTCCCATTAGCCTCCTAACGGGGCTGTTTTGAGAAGCATCCAATTCTGTGACTTGCCTTTTGAGTCCTGTCTTTACACTAAAAACTGTCTTGTAGGATGAGGTCTGAACCATTGTAATTAGTCTGTAACATTACGATTAGAGTGTACAGATTTATTTATTTTGTGTACGCGGTCTGCTAAACATGTAAATGTATTCTGTGTAGCCCATGGCTCTGCCGTCATTACTTCTGGCTCATGGATCGCCCGCGGGCTGACTGCTGAAAGGCACCGCTTTCCCGGCTGTGGATGATGGTCAGTAAACACATCAAAAGCCGAGAGCTTCTAATATGTTCTTGGAGCACAGCGAGAATGTACCGAAATGCCCATAAAGGAGTTTGCTGTTTTCTTAAATGGGGCTGCCAGGCCAGGAGTTGCCTGAGGGAGACCTCGTGCAGGGCTGGGATGTCTGCAGGGATGCTCTGGGTGAGTCGGGCACTCAGCCTCTTGCTGGAAAGCAGGATTGGAGGCTGAACAGGCACTTTGGGATATTTCGTTCACTTTTCTTTGGCTGCAAAGTGGCAAACTGGGCCAGAGAAATACCCTGGTTTGCCCACAGCAACTCATCACCTCTCCGGTTTCACTCTGAGCAGCTTTTATGGAGCAACAGGAAAACCTGTAATATCAAGTGAAAAATGTGCACCGCTTTGGAACCACCTCCTCCTGGAAAGGAGGTGATTTTTCAGGGCCAAGGGACCCCATCCCAGCAGTGGCAGGTGTGACAGTGACCTGAACACCCAGAGCAAATGACCCGTACTGCTGCAGTTGGTCAATTCCTGTTTGAAGCTCCATGTGGCCACCAGTTTCCTCTGCCCATATGGCCCATCCCCACACCTGTGGTGTTCAACTATCTTTAAGGTTATTTAGGAGCTAACTAAAGCCAAAAAAAGAGTAGGCTGTTTTCATGTGATGGGCTTGATTTCAGGTACTGCGGAGCGAAAGCACACTCTGAATGTCCTGGCAGACGGGTGTGTACCGAGGGCAGCTGCTACCGCCGGCCTTGGGGGAGATTTGCAAGGACCTCAGCCCCCGTGCCCTTCTCCCCTACGTCCCAGGCCAGTTTGCCAAGGCAAAGGAGTCTGAGCCAGCAGCTTCGCAGGTTTCTCTGCAAGCCCCGGTTCCCTGCAATAAGTTTGCTCCAGTTGCTCTTGCTCCCTGCAGAGCAGACCACTAAATGAAGCTAAATTTTATCCAGCCGAACTAAAACTTATGAGCCCTGGGCTGTATTTTTTTTTTTAAACTCGAGCATATGGGCCAGATTAATTGTCTTTACCCTTCATTCATGATCTATAACCCTTCCCATGGGTATGTCTCTGTAGCATCACGCTTTCTCTGCAAATGCTTGATAGAGTACATCATTTTGGGGGCTGTGATTCACACAGCAAAGGTTTTATATCGCATTCACATCACTGGTAAAGAAAAAAAAACCCCACGCTTCACACTGAGACAGTCTGATGCTGCTCCTCTCTGCAGTGTCCTCATGACCAGGTCTATTTTGAGCTGCCAGGAACCAGGTTTTAATTCATTGAACATGTGTCTTGTTACTCCCACATCACCAAGACTTACTACTTCACACTGAGACAGTCTGATGCTGCTCCTCTCTGCAGTGTCCTCATGACCAGGTCTATTTTGAGCTGCCAGGAACCAGGTTTTAATTCATTGAATTGCTATTCATTGCAATTGCAATTCATTGACTTACTATTTTTTGCACCTGCCTTTGTTTGAAGAACCTCTTTGGGTGAAAACACCACTTTCTTCTTAGAACCTGCTACCTGGCCTTGAATTTTGTTTTCAGCTTCAAATTTTCCTTTGGGATGGCCTTCCATTTCCCGCTCCGTTTCCTGGCAAATCTGCACGCGTGAAGCAGCGCGCTGTTCTCCAGCCACCCCGCTTCCACCATCCTGAAGAGCTGGAGCTGCCGTTGGCACTTCTCACTTTCAGCTCTCTGTTCCCAGGCTGCTACACAAGTTACGGCTTTAAATTGCCCACAGGGATCTTTTAGATCGCCTGCACCCACTGGCACCCACCCTCCATCGCAAGCTGAGAAGTGCTTGCTGGTGCTGAGCCTGGTGACCCGCAGCTCCGCCGTCCCTTCCCTGGTGGGACCGGGTGGTGCTGAAGACCTTGCAGTTGGATGACTGAAAGGACCGTTACAGGTGGCCTCACCCCCCCTCAACGCTCACTGGGTCCTGGGTGTAGATCCGTGTGCTTGAAGACCCCCTTGAGCCGCAGCCAGCCCTGCTCCC